GGAGATGTTGGAGGTGCCCCGGTGGCTAGGAGATGCTAACTACCTCGCCTGGTATCCAGGAGGCCGTGGGTTCGATCCCGACGCTGACGCCTGCTGCTGTATATTTGGAGTTTGCGGTGTCTCTCTCGCCCCGTGGATTTTTCTCCGGGTTTTCCGGTTTTCCCCTCCACATTTAGGAGCACGCGTTTAGAGTCGTATTTGGCTACTCTCAACTTCCACGCGACAAGCCACTTCGTTGAGCTTATCATTTGTGGCCAGGTCGCTTCTGAAAAAGAGCTCTACGTGGGCTTTACCTGGTAAAATAAAAAATATATATTTTAAAAGGTTCACAGTTCGATTCCAGCGGTCGCCCTGGTTAATACTGCCGGGTGAATGACACCATAATACGTGTAAATGCGCTGTGCTTCAGAGACAACTTTAACGATTCTTAAGAGTTAGGCCATTGTGTATCGAGATCATGGTCTCAAGTTTGCCAAACTTGAAATAATTACCCGCAAATTACTCAATTGGAATATACAACGCAATATACAACTGCAAGGACTTAGCAGGAAATCACGAAACTCGGTGAGCCTTCCCTGAGTAAACAAACGTACTGCTAATACAAATAGTTTAACGTTAAAGATCTTAATAATGTGTCCTGTTTAATTTCATTCTCATGGTATTAGTGTAGTTTTTTTTACAGCAGGCTCATTATTAGAACTGCTGTCCTGTACCTGTAATTGGATACACTCTGTCACATGTGACACTCTCTTGAACGAAAGACTCGCTTTCTGAATCCTAAATGCAGTTACTTGATAACGTATATGGGGGGTTGTCCATACTGTATTCTGATTTTTTGTTGATAGGCCACGTGGTGGTAGTTTTATACCAAAATTCTGGTATTGATAATATACATTGATATTCTTACCAATGAAGATGAATACATTGGCACATATAAATAACTAGCTGTACTACCCGGCTTCGCCCGGGACTTGGATTCACCACGCCCAGCCGCCTTTGTCTCCCCAGTGGCGATGTTCATACACCACAGCAGTTACTCGTTTAAGGCTGAGTCGACCTAGGGGAGGCCCAGGACCCGTTCAAATAATCGTCACCGGTGGTGGCCGTGAGCGGGAATCGAACTCGGGTCGCCGGGTTCGTAGCGCAGCGCGCTACCCGCTACACTACAATGCGTTACGCTTCCACGTGCGCGGGTCACATGACATGTGACGTCACAGCTCACTTGCCGTGCAAAAAATAAATGCATTAATGAGCTCCCCCCCCTCCCCCCAAAAAAGTGTATTTTTATAATTTTTGCATGGTGTTCAGTCTGGAAAGTACCCATATGGCAATTTCAAGTTTGTTGCATGTCGGGAAGTCCGCTAAACATTTTGAACAGACACATAATCACAGCTTTGCCTTTAATATCTATGTAGATATCTTTGTAAGCGTGGAGGGTAAAAGACCGTGCAGCATCTCGTGATTGCACTGCCCCAAACGGATCATTCAACGGCGATCTGAAACAAACCCAACGCGGCTTCTCCCGCAGCAGTCGAATGGATATCAAATTTCGACATCAATTTGTAATCTGTTGCAATCCCCAAAAATTCCATAAAAAATAATAAGAGAAGACTGACAAGAATTTTGGCATAAAATTACCGTGGCCTAACCAGAAAACAAAATATAGACCATCATTGCATTGGCTACAAAAACCGTCGGAAGTTAAATGTATCTTCTGTCCGCAAGCAGAACATGTATTTCAGAAAGATGTATATACATTGTACTCATTCTATCAAACTTCCAAACAACTCGCACTTGAACAAATGGACAAGTTTTTAGTTGAAAAAAAGTTTATTGGAAAAATGCTAAATCACACATTTACAATTGCACTCGATTGCTGGAGCCTGTGTGCTGGTGTGCGCAGGGCAGCATAGTGCTGCGTAATGTATCATAAAGCTTCCGTTTGGTGCTGAGGCAGACTGTTTTAAAAGGTTTGAAATGGGTGTAGCCCAAGGGTCATAAAGAAGTGGCCGGGGCTAGTGATGACGGACGCTTGTGTTGCGCCTGAAACGTGGTGAATTATTTTATTTTCTACCTACGTGACTTTCCTGAAAGAACCAAAGAGGATGGATTCCTGCAGTCACGAACGCTTCAAATCAACATTGCTTCCGTTTGTTTCTGTGTGCGCATCCAAAGTGAGTGGTTGCGTTTATTTTTGGTTGCCGCCGTACAGCTGTGGGTATTGACGATCTTCGGGGATTTTAATTTGGGTGGGAATGGGCAGGAAATCTGCTGCAGGTGCCTCACCCACAACCCTTCCCGGGAACATGGAACATTCGGAGCTGTCCTTGGGAAATAAAAATTGTTTAAAATGATTTAATGGTTTAAAAAAAACATTTTTCATAAATAAACGCGTTATCTGTTGTTGTTCCGGACACGATTGGAAGCTTTAAATTTTGGCCGACGTTCATGGATTGTAGCATCCGATTCATTGCCTACTCTCCGTGTAATATGTGGCCTCGAAAGGAGATAACACACGCTTAATGGCTGAGTGCTAGCTTTGCAGGATATGGGCGCTGGGAAATTGGCCAATAAATATGTTATCTGTCACCGTGAAGCTTTAGCAAGCTGACCTAACTGAACTGTGTTTTTTTTTGTTACCAGTTAAAGCCCACTGAGCTACATAGCCCTTTTTTCAGAATGGACCTGGCCACAAATGATAGCTCAACGAAGTGGCTTATCACGTGGACATTTATCGCAGCCAAATACCCTAAAAGCATGTTTATAAATGTGGAGGGTAAAAACCGGAGGACCCAGAGACAAACTCACGCAACCACGGGCAGAGAGACCTACGCAAACTTCAAATATACAGGCGTGTCAGGTTCGGGACCGAACCCACGACCTCATGTATACCAGGCGAGGTAGTTAACATCTCACCACCGCGGCACAATGGATGCTCGTACGGCGGCGTGAAAGTCTGGAACGTTCAATGCTGTTCCGCAACTCCTTTAAGATGTTTTTTTTTTATTGGGTTTGTATTTGTCTTTGGTTTTAATGAGAACGCTTGGCTAAACCGAAGCCGACGGATACTCGTGTTTGCACGTTGAGCTCTTTCTGCATCACGGTTCTGATTTTTATTGCGCAGCTGAGACCTAGAGCAATTTCCTGCGTTTAATTTGAACGTACGAGCAGAGACTTTCTGCAATCTTTTCCAACTACCTACTCATTAATGGTCACGCATTTGTATTATACTAATTTTATGTGCGACGTTTTACCCTGGATAGATCCAATAAAGCGTTATATTACTCTAATCCTAACCAACTAGTTGCTAATTGTAGCCCCTCACTCCGTTTGTCCCAAGCTCTAACTAGTCAACTTACCATGATCACTAGTCTTCCCACAGATCCTAACCGTTACCTACACGAGCAATAGCCCCATCCCAGCTGACCCTAACCTGACCCTTAACCCCACCACTAGCACTGCACCAGGTTCCCCTTTAAAACATTGACATCTCGTTTTCGTTGTGTTCATATCCGGTGCTAGATCCCTATAGCAGTGGTTCTTAACCTTTACTGCATCCCTTTGGCTCCCAATCGTTGAAAGATGTTATTACACCGAGGGTTTGATGAACAGAGTAGTTACACGTACGTGTCCGTGCTGAATTTGTGTGTTCGATGATTTAGCTTCGACAAAAATCTGCCCATGCCTCGCACCCCCAGAAAGGACATCTCGCACCCCCAGTGGGTGCGTGCACCCCCAGGTGAAGAAGAACCACTGCCCTACAGGAACTGTCTGGCACTATGGGGAATTGTAGCAAAATATTTTCCGCGCGAGCTGACTTGACTCCGTGACCAGCACTCTTCCAATTCTCACGTCTTCATTTTCCTGCCAGCCCAGGTGCGAGGGACTTGAGTCAACATTAAACAATGCTCGTTCGTTTATTTCACGATTCTACAGCTGTGGAACAGAGGGGGTGGGGCGGTTTGTTGAGTTGTCACTTAGTCATCTCATTGACAGGGTTGTATAACTAAATAGAAAACAACACCAGTCGACTGCGTGCCTATCAGATTAGTGGTCCGATTGTATTCTCAGCCCTCTCATCGCATCGGATTACTTCACAACGGTGAAAAGCTTTAAATCGCAATTTAAATCAAAATTTAACGGTGAAAATGTTCACTTTGTCTAAATGTAATTAATGTTTCATGTTAATCATTGAGAGGGAAATTGTGGATTTTTTTCGTCATTTATTATACAATGCTGTAAAATTCGCCGTTTGAACAATTGTGTGGGTGTATATTTAATGTATGCAGTAATGGGCGAAAAGTAGTTGAGCTTTTAAACAAAGTCACATTTGGTATGATCAAATTAATAGTATCAATGAAAATTACTGGTTTCCTATTCGGCATATTTATTACATGTGTAACGAGATACGTTGTAAATGGAGTTTCACGCGGGATTTTTTTTGTCTTCTTCCAATAATTATCAACGGGGAAATCTCCTCCCGGTGGATGCGGCATTGCTATCCATATCAGGCGTGAAATAGCTCACGTGTGCACCTCGCCTCGGGGGAGCCACGTGAGAGAGATAATGCCCCCCCCCCTCCCTGACCCCCACACGCCTGACGACCAACAGGCAGCACGCAACGGCAATCTGGGATTCCGCGTGATGTGATCGCGTTTGTCTCAATCAGTATGTCCCCTCCGCGTCTGTCACCATCTCTACCACCACCACCAAATTGTAAATGTGGATTTAATCTCCAACACAGCGGTGGGCTGAAGCAGTAAACTAATTAACGTTTTGTTTACGGGACAACCCCCTTACGAATTGGCTGTGTCGGGTGCTGGAGGGTTACGACACATTTACACTTACGCGATCTAACCCAAAAAAAAACTTTGATTATGAATCAGACTTGTCGTGAAAGCCGACGTTAAAACCCACAGCCAAGCGTCCTCCCCTTCCCACCCACTCCCACTCTCCTCCTCCCTCCTCCTCCTCCCACCCTTCCCTTCGTGGAGCAGCAGCGAATGGCGTCGCCGCGTACACGGCATGACCTCCCCGTCGTGCGTGGGCGTGGTGGTGGTGGTGCTGCTGCTGGTGGCTGGGAGGGGACCCCGTCCGAATGGACGTTCCCGTCGCGTCTCGAGCCGAGTCGGAGCGCGCGTGAGATGCTGGGTGCGGGGGGAAGGGTCACAGTTCACGTAGGGAGAGGAGAGTAAGCCACTCGAGCTGGCCATCACCCCCACCACCACCACCACGGCGCAGCTGAGTTACGGGAGATCACCCAGCACCACAACCCCATCGCCACCCTCCCCCCACCACCTCATCCTCCTCCAACCCTCCGCGTCATTCCTTCCATAAATTGTCGCTGCTCTTTCTTTAAAAGCCGCAGCTCGCTCGCTCTGCTCCGAGGGAGGTGTCAACGGACCTCGTCAAACAGCGCTCTGTGGAGCTTTTTATTTTTTTCACAAGTTGCCGTGCTCGTCACTTTTGAGTCGACAAAAGTCGAGGTTGCCGTTCTTTACTGTGCGCGCGTCGGCGCGGGCGATCAGCCCACTTGAATGTTGCCGCATCCCACCACCCCCACCACAGCACCGGCCGCACGAGAGTTAGGCAACTTTGAATGGGTCGCCGGTCACCACTCGTGGTCTCCCCTCGCCACTCGCGCGGCGGTGGTTAGCAGCGCAGTGGAGGAAGTGCAGCTCACCCGTCGCTCTGCGTGACAACACGACACACAGAGAGAGAGAGGGGAGAGAGATTCCAGCGGTGGGGCAAAACTTGCACGGGTGCCGTGAACCACGTTTTGCCCGTTTTTACGAGAGGCGGAGATGAGCGAAACGGAACTGAAGACGGCCGTCCAGACGGAGGGCTTGCTTGGGGAGGTGCCCGAGAGGGCTGGGCTGCCACCAGTCTACCTGCCCACAACCACCACGGCAGCAGGTAACGTTGAGTGGAGATGTCGTTGGGGCTCCTGTACTCGCCGAGGCGGGGTGCCAGTGGTAGTGCTGTACGGTCTTACTTGAGCAAGGTGGGGGCGGAGGAGCAGTTCATAATATAGGTTTTTGGGTCAGATCGCGTTATTTATAAATGTGTCACCCTGATGCTGCTCTATTTAAGACCGGAAGCAACAGGAGAGCTTCACCATTCTTGCCCGATGAAGCTGATTGTAATTATCAGCGAAACGTCGTACTGCTCAAATTTTAAAAAGCTGTTGATTCTCTCTTCAGCACACCGGTAGGCTAAAGAAGTCAATTAATTTGTCCTTTGAAAACGTGACACATTTTTTACTGTTTGGCCGTGTCGGGTGGTGGAGGGTTACGACACATTTAGAAATAACGCGATCTGACCCAAAAACCTATATTATGAATAATATTGGTCGCGAAAGCCTGCTACGTGTTAAGTGGAGGAGCAGTGTTTGGGACAGATGCTTGTTGAGTATTTCATACGACGATGCTTCTGAAAGATGATGAGTACGTTAAGGGTTCGTGTCTGCGACGCTGACAGCGAAGTCTGTGCAATATTATTTGAGGATGGGGGTTTGTTTTACAATCGCTCACAACAACTGTATTTGTATGAATTTCCACGTGGCTAAATATGGACGCAAAACAAGTGGCTTTAGAATAAGTATAGTGCTTGTATAACATTCTGATAGATTTGGGAATGTTATGGCTTTCGTGTAATTTTGAGAGACATTTTTGAGAGAGAAAAAACCTGTGATTTTTACACAGCCGTATTTCTAGATATATTTTTTATACTCTGAGGTTAAACATTGAGGCGGCTCTCTTGAGAGAGAGAGAGAGGGCAGTGCATTCATCATTGGCCGTTTGAGAAATCACTCCGTGTGCAACACATCTCTCGGATTCCAAATGAGCAGGGAAACCGAGACTGCTCTCAAATTCTGGCACCGACTTTTACCTGCAACAAGCCCCCACCCCCCCCAAACGCTGCCTTGTGAAATACGAAGGCATGGGGCCAGTCATGGCTTAAAGGCACCGCTGCTTGGCTGGTAGTCGTAGCCTGGCTCCCATCCGCGTGCCGTGCGTGTCTGATCGGAATGCCCGCGCGGCTGCGCCACCCATTGTTATGCCAAACGTGAATCTCATTGGCAAGCGGAATCATCGCAGCTGCCGCGTGGCCGTGGCAAATGTAACGGTGTCCGTCCCCGCGTCTTAATGCCCCACAAAAGACAAATAGTTCACTACTTTAGCCCACCTGTGTGTTGAAGAGTGAATCCACAAAATTTTAAAAAAATTAGTTGAGTGAATCCACAACATTTACAAAAAAAATTGTAAATGTTGTAGATTCACTCTTCAACAATTTTTTTTGTAAATGTTGTGGATTCACTCTTCAACACACAGGTGGGCTAAAGTAGTGAACTATTTGTTTTTTGTCAACGTGACACCTTTTAACGGGTCGTCGTAAACTGCCCCTTTCAGAATGGCACACCTAGTTGTCTTGATATCGGACGTCCCCGCATTGACGTTAACGACGTCTACGTTTGCGTCGCGCCTCGTGTGAAAGCCGCCGTCGCGAGGCACGAACATGCAGAGTTGACGGCTTGCCAGGAAGTCGGCGGCGTGAGTTTAAAATCTGTCTTCTTTTTACTGCGGTAAAAATGCTGCGAATTCACGGCATGGCAAATGTATACTCGCAAACTGCGGTACGCACTTGAAGTTCACTTTTTTTTACTCATTTAATAAATATGATAGCGTGCTACTTCATATTGCTTCGTCTACTCACTGCAGAAGACTACTGCTTTGTTTCAAAATGGTATGAAAGTAAAGTTGGTTATCATAGGCAACAGTAAATAAATAAAATGCCTGTAAATCTTGACTTGTGTTCGACTGAATGCCCAATAATATTTGGATTTGGATTTGTCCAGGCACCGGTTGAATATTTGGAGGAAAAAAATTGTTTCTGAAACCACATTTTGGATGGAAGAGCAGCCACGCATGTTTAAATTAAATGTTAATTGATAGAATGTCAATTTGTTTTTTAGTAAGTTTTGGATACGTTATATTTGCTTGTGCAACCATTGGGTGGGTGGGGGTGGGGGTTTGTGGCGCAGTGGTTAGCGCGCTGAGCTACAAACCTGGCGATCCGAGTTCGGTTCCCCGAGGTCGACTCATCTTCAAATGAGTAGTACCTGGTGGGGTCCAAAAACAACGCCACCTTGGGGAGACACAGACAGCCCGGACGTGGTGTTGGCCACCCACGCCCTCGTGTGTCGTACCGGCCTTCATAGGTGCTCGCCAACAGCACTTGCCTTAACAGTGAGCTAAGGCTACAAAGAGAGCGGGGGACCATTGTCTTCATCTTTATTATTCTAATTGGGGAAAATACTCATAATAAACGTTTTTGGGTTAGAACGCGTTATTTATAAATGTGTCGTAAGCCTCCACCACCCGACACGGCCAATCAGTAAAAAAAAGTGTCACGTTGACAAAAGAGAAATAGTTCACTACTTTTGCCCACCGGTGTGTTGAAGAGTGAATCCACAATATTTACAAATTTTTTTGTAAATGTTGTTGAAGAGTGAATCCGCAACGTTTACAAATGTTTTGTAAATGTTGTGGATTCACTCTCCAACACACCCGTGGGCTAAAGTAGTGAACTATTTGTCTTTTGTCAACGTGATAAACTTTTTTTTTACTGCTTGGCCGTGTCGGGTGGTGGAGGCTTGCGACACATTTATAAATAACGCGATCTAACCCAAAAACGTTTATTATGAATACTATTGGTCGCGAAAGCCTACGTGTTAAACTTGGGGGAAACACATTGCGTTGTTTTGCAGCTGTCAATACATGCGGCATATACCGCTCTTCTTGTTTAGGATCGTCCGTTCACACACGATTTATCAATTCACCCGGAGGAGTCTCCGGATGAAAATCATCATCTGTCACCACCCATTGCAAGCGTCTCGTGTTTTTGTTGCATGGGACAACGGGGGGGGGGGGGGGGGGGGGGTTCGTGTCGATGCAGAAGTGATGCACACGGCAAGGTGGTGAACGCAGCGGTGAACCCTTCTAACGGGACGGATCGATTACATTTCATTGTGGTCTGTCGAACTTCTGGGAATGAAACTGCGGTGGGCGGTAAATAGGTTGTTCGCACATCTCGAGTGCTAGTGACCTGGCGGTAACCCCTCTGTGGCAACGCGATAAACGAATGTGAAACCGACTCGCGGAGGCCAGTGGGGAAAATAGGGAAGTGTATTCACGCTGCTTCGAGAGAGGCAATTGTGGAATGCAGGCAATCGCGGGGTGTCTAGAGTTGCGTTCCTTTTCACTTAGTGCCATTTTCAATCGATACGCTGGAACCAGTTTAGTGCAGTTCCGTTTACATGGAAACATTAGCCGCGCTCGATCTGCGGTCTGTGCTGCCATTGATCTGCCATGCATTTGTGGACACGTGGCTTCCAGAAATGGGAGTCTAATTAAAATTAAGTGCAGTCCGGAGGTAATTGCTCTAAGGTACAGCAACGAAGGAATGCACACACACGTGCCAGCGAGGGCTGCGTGTTCGGCATTGAAGGCATACATGTTTGCGCCACGGTGGCGAGATGTTAACTACCTCGCCCGGTGTACAGGAGGAGGGTTCGATCTCGACACGGACGCTGACTATATGTTTGGAGTTTGCGTACCTCTTTCTCCGTGGCCGTCTGGATTTTTCTCTGAGTCCTCGTGTTTTTTTCCGTCCACGTTCAGTATCGACGTCACCCGTTTTCATAGTATTTGGGTTGATGCTGTATATTTTCACGTGATAAGCCACTTCGTTGTGCTATCATTTGTGATAGTCAGGTCGCTTCTAAAAACAGAGCTATATAGCTCAGTGGGCCTTAACTGATACAATAAATACAAATCTTAGTTTAGTTTAGATATGCTGTGGCCCAGTGTGACCTCCGTTTGGCCTGGTTCTTGCAGTCTACATGCTACCTCCGTGGGAGTTGCAAGAACCGTGGAGAAGCATCATCACCATTGCCTCCTCGATAGTCGTCATGCAAATCACTCAGCAGAGATTACGGACAAATGCCCTCTCGCTGGACACCACAGTCAGGGCAGACATATGAGAAGGTCTATCTAATGTGTAAACATCGGTATAAAGTTACAGTTACGCCGTTGACAAATGGGTGACTGGATACAAATACAACGACAAACTGTATTCTTAGGTTTGTTCGGTAAAGTCACGTAGGTAAAAAATTCAAATTCAAATTAATAAAAGTAAAATAAAATACAAAATAAAAATCACGACGTTTCGGAGGCAACACAAGCTTCCGTCTTCAGCTTGTGTTGCCTCCGAAACGTCGTGATTTTTAATTTTCATTTTATTTTACTTTTATTAATTTTTATTTTTTACCTACGTGACTTTACCGAAAAAACCTAAGAATATGAATCCTTGCAGTCACGAAAGCTTCAAATCTAGAACGACAAACTGGTTTAACTTGAGAAAAAGCCTCGACGTGCTTTGGAATTAAGCGAATGATACGCGAGATTAAGAACCCGTTATTGTACAGTGCCGTACGCGAAAAGGTCACATTTGTGAACGGCTGTCGAGAATGACAGCTCCACCGAGCACAAAGCTGCTCTGGGTCTAGATTGAACTGATCAGGACATGTATATGACGGTCGGATATGCGAGGTTGTACTGTACTTGATGTACGTGTCATAAAAAATACATAAAAGCTGTGAAATGCTGCGCATGATTGTAATGTGGAACAAAATCCAAATGTGCATTACTTTATGACAGCAAGTAATCTACCGACAGAGCTGATAATCCTTCAAGATGTACGTCTTCATTTGGAAATTGCGTAATCATCGTTTAGTGGTTTTCATGTTTTTTGGAGTTGTCAGCATGTCACAGTTGCAGGCAGTGTCGAAGAGAGTTTGAATCCGCAAACAGGCCAGCTTTAAATATCATAGCCAGGTTTGGTGTGCTCATGTCATGATGGAATACGATTTGGGATCTCGAGCAACAATTAAAGCGGTAGCTTCAATGCGGCCACTTGTCCGTGTTTATGACCCAGCTTGTGGCTTTCGAGTAAACGCGTTTTTTGCTCCAAAAAATACTCCGAAGCTGCCGTACACCGCGCCGTGAGTATTGCCGTCTCCTGAATTCACCTCGCCTGCGCACGAGTACACTTTAGGCTGATTAAGATCGGGGACTTGCGGCTACGTGACATAAACAAAAAACAAACAAGTACTAGAGCGCGGCAATAAATACAAGTTGCAGCGGCATCGATGGGGAGGCTCTTGAAGGCACCGTGCATCTCGAGTAACCGTGCGACTTCTTGTTTAAACACCAGATGATGACAGACCACAGCTGGTGGAACATGGAAGTGGCTCGATGTGTATTCCATCCTAGGATCACAATGGGCACTGGCGGAGCCAGTGGGGGGTGGGGTGGCACGTCCCCCCCCCCTCAATGATCCAATCGTAATCCCTAATTTCGATCGGATCATTGGGGTTTATTAGTAATACATCGGCATTTTGCGACCACCACTGCCACTGTGTAGCATAGTATTACGTGCCAGGGACTCTATGAGATGATAGGACAATAGTCTGAGTCCATCATTGGCAATAAGTAACGGCAAAGCAGTTTTCAGTGACTCAGAATTGTGCACAGTTGCGTATAGAGTCCACGACTTCCCTGAAGGCATTCACCTTTAGCGAGCCCGATGCCGACCACACACGGTTCGAATTCGACCCTCGATCGATGGCTGCGCCATCGCTGCACACGCGTCGAATAAAAAGCAAGGGACAAGTCCTTACTTACTAACAACTCCTCTATCAGTTTTCATTGCTGGAGGGGTTGCCCCTCTACCTGAAAATCCTGGCTCCGCCATTGCCAATGGGCAATGCATGAAAAGCAGGAAACAAAAACAGAACCAGGGCAACCAGACCAATACTCTTAGGCTTTTTCGGTAAAGTCACGTAGGTAAAAAATAAAAATAATAGAAGTAATAATAGAAATAAAATAATAAATCACGACGTTTCGGAGGCAACACAAGCTTCCGTCTTCATAGCACAATTGCTGTATCAAGTAAAGATACTTTATATATATGATAATTTTTTTTACCCTTCTATCTGGCAACAAAACTGACACCTTTTTTACAAGGAGTCATGTTTACATAGACCACAATACCTGCAGTCAATGCAAACAAAAAACATAACTCTGATAATGTATGCACTGTCCTTGAAGTTGATTGGTCCACACCCGAGACAGCTTTCCTTAGAGCCTAGTCTCACATGGTGTTGGAACAGATGACGCCAAAAGGCGCACAACTCAAAGAGAGTCCATCACAACTCAAGAGAGTCCATTAGATTGATATAATTTAAGCAAAAAAATATATACATAGACAGAATAAAATACCGCGTGAGATTGGACCCAAAAATATTCAAAGCAAAGGGTTGGTACGGGAACATTCAAATCGCTTCATCTTTGTGTCACGCTGTGCCACTCAGCGGCTGTCACCCAGGAGACGCTGTCTACTGCGTCGCTTCCTTTAGTGGCTGTGGGTATTCGTAGCAAAAATGTTTTTGCATCGTCAATAACAGTGACATTGTAATGGGTCGCAACTGCAGGTGGCAGGATATCCCCTTAGTAAGATAGCTGTTCTGGGAAATGTGTAAGTCTTCTCATTAAAAGTCCCATTTTTTTGTCAGTTGATTAATTATACACCACCCGCTCTAACGCATTACACGTGGTTCTACTAGATGCTGGAGATGATAAATCCACACGTCGTGGCAACGCTAATGGTGTTACTTTCACTTGACTGTAGGCGAGATATATCCGCCTTGTTCTCGCGGCCACGTGTTGCTGACGGTCCGTCAAGATGCAATGCGGGCCTCCTTTGTAAGGGACGTCGAATGGAGGTCGGACGCAGCAACCAATTTATCTCTCTTAGCATCTCCGTATATCCGCATGCTTATTGGCGTCTGCGTGTTTCGCACACAGCAGCCGCGTTGTGTTGCAATGCATTGGAAAGGCAAAAGTCGCGGGCGGGCGGGTGGGTCTGCTTGCCAGAGCATGGTTGGTTGTTATGTTGTCGTATTTTCCTTCTCGATTTGCCCGTGTTTCGATAGTGCGCCATCTCTCCATACTCGAGTTTGTTCGAAGGTGCCCGTGTTTCTAATCAATTTGTCATGGTGGGCAGTATGCACTGATTGAAAGCATTCATTTCAAGCACATCGGTTTGCTGCTTCTCAGTAAGTTCATTTTTACTAAAAAAAAAGCATCCATCCCCGTGTCGTTATTTTACATGTCCAGAATTTTCAAATACAGGACCCGAAAACCTTACCTTTCTGCCCTGTCAATGACTGCCTGTTTCCATCTTTCCGAGTAGATTGACTGTCAGTGACATAATCCTCCCCATCACTCTGCTCTCCCACTTAACCTCAGTAAAACATGTGCATCTCTCTACATTGTAGCATTATCGGTCGGTTTCAGTCAGTTTATTCCGTGTAAGGCCCATTTAGCTAAGCAGCTCTTATTCATTGGGGACCAGGCCAAAACGGCAGGCAGGTTACACGGGAAGCGAGGGTTTACAGGAGTTTGCATAGAACAGATGCAATTAATGAAAATTTAAATAATGACATGCATGTCTTGATTTCATTTTCGAACAGCATCTTGAGACGGGGTCACATTTGAAAAGCTTTCTGAGGTTAAATGCTTTTGTACTTGTTTTTTTAACGATAACGGTGTAATGGGAGAAATGAAAAAAAAAGCTGATATGTTCAAAAGAAGCAAAGAGAGACGCACACGCGGAATTGTGCCGAACGACAGAAAAAGGGACAGTTGGATTGAAGAACGTACGCAAGAGAGCGATATAATGTAAATTTAACACGTAGCCTTTCACGACCAATATCATCCATAATATAGGTTTTTGGGTTAGATTGCGTAAATATATAAATGTGTCGTTAAAACCCGCCACCACCCGACACAGCCAACTTAGTAAGGGTTGTCACGTAAACAGAAAATGCCAATTCGTCACTAGTACAGCAACACCGGTGTGTTGGAGAGCCAAGCCACAACATTTACAAACTGAGTATGACGTTTCGCCGGTAATTACAACTAGCTTCATCAGGCGATAGCCAGATATGTGGGGGGGGGGGGGGGGATTACTGAGGCAACGTACATTATACATGTGCCTTATGCGAGCCTTTTTAACTTGTCCTTCTTGTCTATTGTGTTTATTAAAATATCCCTACCAACGGTAATCCTTATTGAAGTACGCTGCCCTTTGTCGGCATGCATTTAAATAATGTATTATTTCATTATTCGCTTCCATGCAGCACTGAGACGGTAGCTATCCGAACGGTTAAAGTTATTTTGATTGCTTTCAATGTCGAAATATTCTCTAATTAGTGTTGGCTAGTATAAGCTAGTTTTGAACAAAACTTCAACATTATCAAAATCAATTGAGTGTCCTTGTTGGCACGCGTGTTCTGCTACGGCTGACAGTTGCATTTGGGAGAATTTAATATTTCTCTGATGTTCTTTTAGTCTCGTGCTGATCATTCGTTCTCTGATGTTCTTTTAGTCTCGTGCTGATTATTCGTCCTGTTTGCCCAACATAACATTTATCACACGTGCAGTTAATCCTGTGGACACCTTCTGTTGATAGCTTCAGTAATACATATTTTGTACCAGATATTAAATTCTGTATTTTTTATGTACCGTGCCAAATCTGACTCGAATGTTTCGTTTTTCCAAACATCTGGCTAGTTTATCAGTTACTCCCGCAATGTACGGTATTTTTTATCGTTTTAATTACTTGGGCAGTTGCACTGCTCTTGTTATTTGATTTGGTTTTGGTATTCAATGCCCTGTTGATTTGCGCACCATTAAAGAAGCGCTGCAAATGAACGGTTACAATGACAGAGCAACGAAATGACAGAGCGACGGATTAATCGTTGCCGAGGCATGATTATTATGATGATGATGCACGTAATTTTGAATGCAACCACGAGAATTGGCGCACCGGCTTTAGAACCTAACACCTGCTTCTGTGCGTGTGTGCGTGTGCACGCGTGTGTGTCCCATTGGGGGAGCGGTAGTGTAGCGGTTAGCGCGCTGCGCTATGAACCTGGTGACCCGGGTTCGATTCCCACTCACGGCCAACACCAGTGACGATTATCTGAACCCGTCGTGGGCATCCCCTAGGTCGACTCAGCCTGAAATGAGTACCTGGTGCGGTGTGTAAACATCGCCACTGGGGAGACAAAGGCGGTCGAGCGTTGTGCTGGCCACCCACCCCCTCGTGTACCGTTCCGGCCTTCATAGGTGCTCGCTAACTACACTTGCCCCTACAGTCTGTTAAGGCTATACGGGGGATCTTTGTCTTTGTCCCATTGGAGAGCGGTGGCACAATGGTCAGCGCACTGCGCTCCGAACCCGGCGACCCAAGACGATGATCTGAAACCGGTCCTGGGCCTCCCCTAGGTCGACTCGGCCTCAAATGAGTACCTGGCACGCTGTGTAAACATCGCCACTAGGGAGACAAAGGCGGCCCGGGTGTGGTGTTGGCCACCCACCCTCTTGTGTGCCGTGCCGGCCTTCATAGGTGCTACTCGCTATTTGCACTTTCCCCAACAGTCTGTTAAGGCTCCACGGGGGATCTTTATCCCATTGTGTCCGCACGTTCAGGCAAGCAGCGGGCCAGGACGACGCCGAGGCAGCGATGTCTGCTCAAGGCCCTGGGGCTCGCGCTGTTCGTCGTGCTGGTGACCGCGATTGTTTCCATCGCTGTGGCGCAGAGCAAGAAGCTCCCCCCTCCGCTCAAGGTACCCTGCACCACCGCACATGCAGCCCCCCCTCCCCTACTCCCCGTCACCTTGTGCCCACGAGGGTGGAACTCTTGCTCTGGTGGTTTTCCTTGTGGCTGTGCCTCCCCGCCCACAGCGGTGCAATCTGTTGTTCCCATCCTCATGGATCGTTGTCCCCACCCCCCCAACTACCATATTTCAAGTATTGGACATTCACTGTCGCCATCCCAACTTGACCTTTGTGCTTGGATAGTAATGAAGTAATAATACAAATATTAATAATAGTTGATAGCACTTTTAATTTAAAGCTTTCGTGACTGCAGGGATTCATATTCTTGGTTCTTTCGGTAAAGTCATGTAGAAGGGAAATAATAAAATAATATAAATATTAAACAATAAAAATTCTCACGACGTTTCGACTGCAACACAAGCAATCATCATCAGGTGTGAAATCCACAGCAAGAACATTTATTTTTTCAAATTTTGTGTTGCAGTCGAAACGTCGTGAGAATTTTTATTGTTTTATATTTCTATTATTATATTATTTCCCTTCTACATGACTTTACCGAAAGAACCAAGAATATTATAGCACTTTGTCAAGCCATTTCTGGATGAAGTTCTTCCCATATCGTGGTGGTCCTGGGGGTTGTTGACTGAACTTCACTACTCTGGTTGGTGTATTTATGTTTGTATGTTGAACTTCTTTCGTACCGTACGTAGCCAATCGTGCTAATTGGAGGTGTGGGGGAATGACAACACACTGAACACAAAAAAAGGTTTTAAAGAAATGAGCTTTCAATCTAGATTTAAAAGTGCATTGCTCCAGTGGCTTCCTAATATCGGAAGGAAGAGCGTTCCGGACGCCCGCAGAAGCGCATCTGAAAGCACGACGGCGAGGTGTGGGTTTGGTGAGCGAGAGGGGAGGGGAGCGGTTCAGGTATCACTCGCCACTGATGTTAACGCGGCCAAGAATCGGGCTCAGGTGGCCAGGTTCGTGGTGCAGTGCACTACCCACTGCGCCAAACACTCCTTTTACTCGAAGGGGTCACTAGCGAAATCAAAGCTATTTCGAGATATTTTATAAGATGTGTGCAAATGTACATGTGTCCTCATAAAATAACATCCTACTTGATTAAAGCACCTGAAGATGGCTGCTTGCGTTGTGGCCGAAACGTCGTGAGAATTATTTTATTATGTTTTATTTTTATTATTTTATTACTTCCCTTCTACGTGACTTTACCGAAAGAACCAAGAAGATGTCTAGATCCTGTATAGTTTTTTTCGATTAAATGCATTTGGGAGCTGGTGAGAACGTTTTAAGTTGAAGTCAGCTTAATGTGATGCATTCTTTCCCTCCAGCAGCTATCATCAGGATGCTGCTATTAGAGGTAAATGATTAAATCGCTGCACGTGACGTCAGCAGTGGCTGTTAAAGAGAAACAGATCCTCTTTGAAGTGCAGTGATTTGCCTTGTTTGACCAAAACAACATGGCAATTTTGATTCAAACAAGTTGAGAAAAGCAGTGTGTGTTGCTTGACCCTGGTGGTCAGATGTTGTGGGAGACTTGCACTGAAACGATGTGGATGCAAATGAGAGGGAGGTTGCTGGCTAATGAGCCACTAGTCTTTGCTCAGCCCCACTGGAAATCTTTCCTCCGACCTTCCCTAATTCCTATTTTGGAGGCATTCTCTGGCATTTCACTCAATCTCTGGCACTTCCTCACACGGCCACCCCAATACCCGCAATTCACCACGAAGTGGCGGTGACGTCACCACGGCGCCTGTGCCAGGCCAGGTGCACTTTGAGGCCACGTGAAGTGCCGAAGGCTCGCTGACAGGAGGTCTCGGGACTGACCCAGGTGCCATGGGTCGGCTAACTGAGATGATTGGTAGATGCACCAGCTGTACCCCCCACTGTTGCCACCTTGCTGGATTTAACCGCCCGGCGCTCCGCTCGTTGTTGTGAGCTTCGCTCCTTTTGGCCTCCGTTGTTGCTGGACGGCGACTGCCCCCACAGCTCAGAGGAGAGCCATAAGAAGAATTGACAGCAGAGCCTACAAGCTGTGGCTGGCTGTACTCTGTAATTTGGAAATTAAAATTCACTCGCAAGACAAATAAGCAACGGTCGAAAACTGTATCCTTCCCCGTCGTCTGCACTGCTGGAGGTTTTATTTCAATTTTCGCGAGTTTCTAATGATTTCATTCAACGTACTCCTTGTAAAAACACATTTAGCCTTTCCGCACTCCCCCAGTGCCATTGTGCGAGGTTGGTAATCTTGCGGCTGGAATCTGCGCCTCGCCCACGTCCACACGGAGGAGGAGGAGGAATGTTTTTTTGCTGTCGTGGTGATTTCTTGTTCCCGTTTTTTGTGTTCACATTGTTGCTGGGCTCTCGTGCTGCAGCCTCAAGAAGCATTCCTGCTGAACTGTTGAATTAAAGAGCAATAAGTTATAGTTCCCAGAGGACTGTCAGCCAAACAATGTGTATGTTTATATTTTTGTTATTAAGTCCATAATTTCAAACAAAACCCTCTGCGTACGCGCCGGCCCTTGCCCGACAAGTAGATCCGCTGTTAATAGGAGTCTTGTGGCATGTTTGTTTTTGTAATTCCACAACTGTTGTACACAAACGTTAATCTGTAATTGGAAAAAAATGTAAATGTTTTTGATTGATTGGCCACATGTAGTTTCGCCGTAACCTGAATCCTGCGGGACCGATTTGGATTCCCAGTCGAAGTCCATTCCTTAGTGTGACCTGGGCTGACCCGAGGTTAACTCTGCACCTCCGATTCCCCGCACCTCCGATTAGCGCGGTTGGCTACGTACGGTGCGAAAGAAGTTCAGCATACATACGAAGATACAACTCGGCATATATAAAAGTTTACCCGTATGAACATTACACGCGTCACAATTCACCCCCCGTCCCCTCCCACCCTAGCAGTTAGATGTATTGCCACGTTTCTGGATAGCGATTCGATTGAAGAATCGATTGCTCATTTTTTTAAATTTGTACATATTGATTGTCTGCCGCACGTAATCTCTTGTATTTCATTTGTACACTGCCTCATTTATATTATCTCATAGAAATGTACGTTCGCGTTTTAAAATTTGGTGACTGGTAAACACTCGATCCTCTCACGCTCTGTTCCATGCGTACAACGGGAGCGTAAGAATAGAATTGAATCGACGAGTGGATGCGTCTTTGCATCCCTAACGATCGTCAAGAGAGGCGAGAAAGTGACCGCCGTGCCTGTATGCCACTTGCCGCACCGCTCGCTCGCGTGATGCTCGGCTGCCAGGAGAGGCAGACTCAACAAATCAAACGGAATCGTCGTTGCATTTGGTGTTCGCGATGTTTCACAGACGAGTATCATCCGCAGTAGTTTCATAGTTACTACCGGCGAAACGTTACGGTACTCGAATTGTAAATGTTGTTGTGGATTTGCTCTCCAACACACCGGTGTGCTGTGCTAGTAACGAATCGGCATGTTCTGTTTACGTGACAAACCTTACTAGTTGGCTGGGTTCAACGACACATATTTACGCGATTTAACCCAAAATAAACTCTTAATTACAGAGTTTCATCGTAGCGGGCGATGTTGCCGTGTGGTTTTACCCAATCAGGTACAGTTTGGACCGTGACGCTGGCAGACGTGGCCTACTCTTTTTTTAAAATAGCGTCCTGGGATATTTGACCTCTCCTGTGCAGCAGATGCCGCGCATTTTATTTTGGAAATGCACCCACGGTGTTCAACAGGGCCGACCGCTGGGCTTGGAACCGTGAAGCTCTGCAACAAGTGGCCAAAGCTCCACCGCTCGGCCGTGCGGCGCCCAACGCATGTGTCGTTCGTGTGCCTGGTGCCGCCGGTGTGTTAACGTCTCCATCGGGGGGACAAAGGCGGGCGGGCGTGCGTGGCGCTGGCCACCCACCCCCCTCGTGTGCAATGCCGGCCTTCATTAGGCACTCGCTAACAGCACCTGCCCAGAAAGTCTGTTAAGGCTATGGGGGGGGGGATATCTTTGTCATTGTGTGCAGTACGGAGTGGTGCTGGATGCGGGCTCTTCGCACACATCGCTGTTCGTGTACCAGTGGCCAGCGGACAAGGAGAACGACACCGGGGTGGTGACGCAGGTCGCGCACATCGACGTGGAGGGTGAGTGCACTTTTAAGAGTGTTTTGATTTCCAAATTTTGTTCCAATTGTGCCATTGAGGCCATGTCACGAGATAAGATTGTGCTTTCGGAACTCTACAGCTAGCAGGGAATCATCCTGTGCCAGAGAACAGCTTTGGAATATGTTATGCAACTATTTCTGAGGCTACAGAGAAGACAGACCTTTAAAGCTGCGGTGTATGGGAGGATTACTATGGTATAAAACTCATGCATTTTATTTTAGTGTGGTAAACATATACCAGCCATTAAAAATATCCTTCTTTACCATTCTCTCTGTCACACACATGGTCTTTCGAGAATGGGAAAAGGGTATTTTTTATTTGGGGAATTTCATTTTCCTCTTGGCGACTGAAGAGTATTTGTTATGTAAGGTTCGCAGGAAACCGTTGGATGGTTCAAAGATAAATACAAATTGAGATGTGTCCCAAACCCACTCCTGGCCTCCTTAAAAAGTATTAAGCTTTCATTCCTGCCATGTTTTTTTGCTTGTCCAGCATTAAAAAAAATATTTAGATTAAGATCCATTAAAAGTTTTTTTTTACAGCCTAATTTTGCGGTCAACTCAACTTTGCATACATGGGACGTCGGAAAGGGCATGCGGTGAGCTGCAGAGGTCATTCGGGGTTCGCACGAGCGAGTGGGGCCCCTCTTAAAGCGAAGGATCGTGAACCGTTGTGTTCGTACGCGTTGTAACATCCGGTTGGCCCTGCCACTTGCATCGGCATCCAAATACAGAACGACCGATTTTGAAGTTGACGTACATTCAGCGTTTCTGCGAGGTCACCCAAGAGTTGAGTACCCTGTTCGGCAGGGTCGATGAACCGTGGCACAATCAAAGGCCACTTTCGTTGCAGATGGCACGGCGCTCCGGGACTCGCATTGCAGCGGGGTTCATCTCACAGTCCCTCCCTTCTTTTCAATGTTTTCACAAAAAGAAAGGAACTTGGTAGAACAGTAAGGTCGCCTGTGCATTTTTTTGGCATGACGCGAAAGAAAAGTCTCCAAAAAGAATTCTTCACTTTGACTCTTTGACCCACTGGGACTAGATGTTCCTTATTCAGTTTTTTTTTTGGGGGGAGGGGGGGTGGATGTGTGACACGAGTTTAACAGACCGTGATAAAACTATTGGGATGGGGAAAATACTTTTGAGCACCAGGCAGCGCTCCGTTTCCATTTCACATGGGCCCTGGATTTCGGCTGAACAGGATTGTGTTGAAAAAAATATTCTGAATGTAAAATTATCAGGTAGGAGAGGCGTTGTGATTTGGTGCACAATGGTCTGAACCCGGAAACCTGGTTTTGATTCCCATGTCATGGCTCAGAGCAGTCGCAAGGGATGTCTGGTACTGTCCCAGGTCTCAAACTTGATTTGAAGCTTTCGTGACTGCAGGGATTACTCTTTGGTTCTTTCGGTAAAGTCACGTAGAAAGAAAATAAATTAAATAATATAATACGACGTTTCGATTGCAACACAAGCAACCGTCATCAGGTAAGAATGAATGAGAAAACAAACCGAGTAAATTAAGAAATATAATGCAATACAACACAGAGCGTCGGCTAACACAACAGCCCTTCCTTGGTTGATTATGTTCTTCCAAAGATTGCTAAATTTGAGAGAGAGGGACAAAACACAGACACGGAGACACAAAAATAGACACACAAGCAGAGAGAGACACACACACACAGAGAGACACACAGAGAGACACACACATAGACACAAAGGTCAACTCAACTAAACCAAGCGATGTCTCAACCAGTCCTGATGCTCATTCGCTCGCCCGTACGGACAGGGTGAATCTGTGCGTGCCTGTGAAGCGTATTGTGATGGCTGAACGCAAAACCCTAGCCCCAGGCTTGACAAAGTGAACGTGATATATTAACACGGTGTCCTGCTCGTAAAATGTGCCTGGTTCAGGTTTGGCAACGTGCTGTCAAGGGGGACGCGGGTAAGGGGGAGAGGGGGTGGGGGTGCGGTAGGGATGTCGGGTCGTGTCCATGTGATCCCATGCACTTTTGGACAAAACGGTCCATCTGGCTCAGCGGTCAGCAACCAAAGCGACGAGGAGAAGAGCCACATTTTTGTTTAGTCTTAATTCGGTCAATAGTTCAGTGTTTCAATGCACGTGAAATACGAGACCCGGTGGCCGTTGACGAATAACGACGCAGAGCGGTCCTGGCGGAGTCGCGGGTTTGCCGGCCCCCTGGTCTGGCTCCATCTGTACCACACTGTGGTGTTCGCTGAGAATTTGGCGTGGTTCCCTGAGCACCTGTTTGTTTGACACCACTTCTGCAAGCCTCAGCCTGGGGTGTGTCTACTGAATTAACCTCCACCCACCATCCTCTGTTCCCCTCTAGCCCCCCCCCCCCCCCTTGTTATCTGACCACATTTAGACATTTCCCAGCACTTTCTTGCTCTGCTTGTTGCGTCACTCCTCGGCGTTCATTGCTCTCGCGTGGCTTTTATTCCCCCCCCCCCGCTCCAGAAATCTTGTGACCAATGTCTTAGTCACTGCTGTTGACGAGACACTATAAAAAGGCAATAAGGTGCACAGTGTGACCACATTCATGAAGCCATAATACACAGGCATCAGGCAGGAGGAAGTCCCTTTTTAAAGCGATGACCAGGCACTGTCAGCATGTTTGCACAGTTGTACTGCAAATGTACCACGTATTGTGTGCTTTCCAGCTCATGCAGTTAACTGATGTACCTATGTTGCTCTGTCAATAGCCCTATTCCTCCCTGTTCCGTTGGGTGTGACGTGACGCGTGATTAGATCCCACGCCTGCCGTCGCGATCTACGCAGCCTTTAAGCAGTGCGTAACCCAAGTTGACATTTATGGGTGTACGTTTAAACCACTCAGCGGCATTAGACGTTTGTTTTTTATTTCGACCTTAGTCAATGCCGTTCCCTGTGGGCGATGTCCTTTCAACAAAAGCCAAACTCCCCCGACGTCGCTGCCTTGGAAGGCGAGAAAAGCGGAGGCCACGCAAAATTTAATAAATTAAGAAGAAAAATAAGTCTTGGCATCCGTACGCGAAGAAATGCACATGCAAATGAATGACCAAATGTGGACCGTGAACTTTCCGAAATTTAAACACGCAGGCAAGGTTTTCTGCTCGGATAAGCGCAGAGCTGTTGCTCCACATTTTTCGCTCGTAAAACAAACAAAAAAATGGCAAGTAGGTGGTGTGATGATCCCGCCCGGACCCCCCGCCTCGCTCCCCTCTTCTCCCTTCGTTCAATGAATCATCAATCGACGTTTGAGATTCTGCTGCACATTACAGTGGCCTCTCATGGATGGAGGGGGCCGTATTATGTCATTGAGTAATGAGTTTAGGCAAAAGATTTTAATGTCAATTCTTAAGCGCACGACACAAACGAGGAAATGTGAGAATGTTTTTTTTATACAACTCTCCGATGTGCGCTTGGTTTGTTGGGCTAAATTATTTTAGTTGACTAAACTATTTTACGTGACCTAAACTATTTTATTTTACCAGCTAAAGCCCACTGTGTGAGGTATTAGCCCTTTTTCAGCGGCGACGTGACCACACATGATAGTTCAACGAAGCGGCTTATCATCATCATCACACGTCGCAGCCAAATAATCTAAACGCATGTTGTTTCTAAATGTGGAGGGAAAAACTGGAGGAACCCAGAGAAAAATCCACGCGACCACAGGGAGACAGAGAACACGCAAACTACAAATATTCAGGCATCAGGATAGATGCCACGACCTGCATATCAGGCAACATCTCACCACCGCAGTATGCATGATGGGAGCTTTTTCAGAAACTGAATTAACCGGCGAAAACCAACGCAGTAAAATTAAAAGATGTTTGTAGACCAAATGTCAAATGTGCGTACTTTTTGCTTCCGGTGTTTACAGAAACAAGGAGACGTTCTTTTTGGAATAGACCTGCAGCCATTCAGGAGACACTGTGAGCACGAGTCTTTCATCATGATACTTTGCACGTGTCGTTTGCTAAATATTCCTGATAACGATTCTTGGCAATTTGTGAAGAAACGTGTTATCAAAACCACACTTCCTCCTGTATGCTGATCTTTAGCATACATTGCTTGTGTCGTAAGAATCGATGTTGATCGAATAATTAATGCATCATCAGGAGACAGATCTGGAACTCACTTTTAGCCAAATATTATTTTGGTAGCCAATTTTTTTCCCCATTCGTGGTGTTGGCCTTGTGTCTCACTGTGCGCATGAGTTTTGCGCTGTGGACTTTTGAAAATCGGCTCTGAGCTTCCGAGTAGCAGTGTCAGTTGAAAATGCAGCTTTGAAATTCACGCTTCACTCCAAAAAGTGAGGTATGCATTCCAACATTTTACAATGGGACATTTCCAATCAGAGATTTTTTTTATTAATGTCCTACACATTGCAGAGCCAGGAAATTCACAAACCACAATTGAACGTGGAAGTCCTTTTGCGGTGGTAAGTTCGTGGCCTACGTAATATTCAGAACACAGTGCTCCGCTCTGCAATGTGTAGGACATTAATAAAAAAAAAAATGATGATTGTAAATGTCCCCTTGTAAAATGTTGGAATGCATACCTCACTTTTTTTGTAGTGGAGCGTCTCGTGTCCTGGGCTTCTCTTTCTCCTTTTAAGAACATAACCTTTAAAAATGGATTTTTTTTTGTCAAATTCTGCCAAGGAAACCCCCGCACGTGGCTCAAGAATCTGAGGCATTACTTTTCCACTAAATACCAACCGTTGCATGGCAATGGAAAGTTCACATTGGGCGCCTGATGGTGCCCCCTTGACCATCAATCATTTGCCACGACTCCACAAAGAAAGGCCACTTATTCATGCAGTTATTTCTTTAAATATCCACGCTCGCGGCACCGCCTGTAACACGGCAGGCAATCCCCGCGTCGTACTTTTGCACTTTTTGAGAGAAACCTCAGACGCTGCGCGAGGGACTCCACAACCACCTGAGTTCGATTTCTAGCAGCCACGGCTC